CAGGAGGGCTTTGATTACGTTTTCTTGCCCTGATGAAGGGAGTTGGACTGGATGGCCTTAAGTATTTTGTGTTGGTCATGGGGGTTCTCCTCCCCCGAGAACTTGGCCCAATTCTATCGTTGGTGTGGTTCAGAATGCTCTTTGATTGTAGGTGAACTATAAATCCCAGTAACTACAACTCCCAAATGTCAAGGTCTATTTCCCCCAAACTCCATCTGTGTTTATATTTGGGCATATTGAGTATTTGTGCCAAGTTTGGTCCAGATCCATCATTGTTTGAGTCCACAGTGCTTTCTAGATATAGGTGAACTACAACTCCAAAACTCAAGGTCAATGCCCACTAAACCCTTCCAGTGTTTTCTGTTGGTCAGGAGAGTCCTGTGTGCCAATTTTGGTTCAATTCCATCATTGGTGGAGTTCAGAATGCTCTTTGATTATAGGTGAACTATAAATCCCAGCAACTACAACTCCCAAATGACAAAATCATAATTTTTTGAGTGATGGTCACTCCTTGTGTTGTGAGACGTTTGTTGCCAAATTTGGTGTGATTTTGTTCATTGGTTCTTTTGTTTTTAAGGTACTCATTATGCACAGAGCATTTATATATATATATTTATATGAGCAAAATCTTTTAATTTTTTAAACAAACTACTAAGAGCGACTTACAAGTAAAAAGTAAATATATTTTATATTATTATCATAGCACAATAATAATATTATATATTACATTGTACTATAACATTATACTGCAATATTATTAGTAATGTTACATTTAATATAAAATATATAATTATAGTATCACTTTATTTAGATGTTGTGCTCCGCCCTGAGTCCCCTTCGGGTTGAGAAGGACGGAATATAAATGCTTTAAATAAATAAATTAAATGACACAGATCTGTCAGTCTTGTCTGTTAGTCTTAAGATGTTAAAAAATACATTCTTCTAAACCCAAATTTACTTCCTTAGTTTTAATATATCAGTTTTGTTTTGTTTTTTTTTGTCGTGTCAGGAGCAACCGCTCCTGTTGTGAGAGAATTGGACGTCTGCAAGGACGTTGCCCAGGGGACACCTGGATGATTTTTGATGTTTTATCACCACACCCAAATACCTGGGAGTCACTTTGGACCGTGCTCTGACCTACAAGAAGCACTGCCTGAACATCAAACAAAAAGTGGGCGCTAGAAACAACATCATACGAAAGCTGACTGGCACAACCTGGGGATCACAACCAGACACAGTGAAGACATCTGCCCTTGCGCTATGCTACTCTGCTGCTGAGTATTCATGCCCAGTGTGGAACACATCTCACCACACTAAAACAGTAGATGTGGCTCTTAATGAGACATGCCGCATTATCACGGGGTGTCTGCGCCCCACACCACTGGAGAAATTACACTGCTTAGCCAGTATTGCACCACCTGACATCCGCCGGGAAGTAGCAGCCAATAGTGAAAGGACCAAGGCAGAGACATCTCCAGCTCATCCCCTGTTTGGGTATCAGCCAGCACGTCAACGACTTAAATCAAGACATAGTTTTCTTAGATCTACAGAGACACTCGCTGGAACACCTCAGCAAGCGAGAGTCCAAAAGTGGCAGGCCCAAACCCAGCACCTCAATCCATGGGTGATACCAGATGAGAGACTCCCTCCTGGGCACTCAGAAGACTGGGCGACTTGGAAGGCGCTGAACAGACTGCGCTCTGGCACCACGAGATGCAGAGCCAATCTTAAGAAATGGGGCTACAGGGTGGAATCCTCGGCATGCGAGTGCGGAGAAGAACAAACCACTGACCACCTGCTGCAATGCACCCTGAGCCCTGCCACATGCACAATGGAGGACCTTCTTGCGGCAACCCCAGAGGCACTCCAAGTGGCCAGAGACTGGTCAAAGGACATTTAACCAAATACCAAATTTGCAAAATCTGTGTGATTTTTTCTTTTTCTTTTTAATCTGTGTGTTTGTTTTGCTCTGTTAGAATTGTAATACAATTGTTGCTGATGACACGATAAATAAAAATCCTTGTGGGAGGCTTCTCTCATGTACCCGCATGAGGAGCTGGAGCTAATAGAGGGAGCTCATCTGCCTCTCCCCGGATTCGAACCTGCGACCTGTCGGTCTTCAGTCCTGTCGGCACAGTGCTTTAACCCACTGTGCCACCGGGGTGACAAAAAGAGACTTGGAATGCAAGACTTGGGCACAGAGAGGGGGAAACCTGGAAGGATAAGGAGTCAAAAACACAAAGGTTCCTTTGGGGAGAGAATTGACACAGCAAGAGAAACGTGTGATACTAAAAGAAATGTAACTTGGAAAAAAAAAAACCAGTTGTAACTTGCCTAACAACCAGACCCCCAAATGACAGATCACATATATCCTGTAAGGCAAGCTAATGATGTTCAAAGGGAAAACGCCCACTCATTTCACACTTGCACAATCCGGGCAGAGAAAGATGATTCAGCTAAGTGGGACTTTAATTGCTTCTTGAAGCAAAGCTGAGTGGACAACAGGACCCTTGAACCCAGTTTCCCCGTCTCAGCTTTTGCTGATAAAAGATCCAAAGATTGAAGCATCAGAGGGCAGAAAAAAAAAACACATTCATAATCCTTAGTGTATAGGTCTAGCTGATCTGACAACTGCATAAAATGACAATATGTGAATAAACAGAAGATAAGAAGCGGAGTGCACCAAAATGTATGAAGATGAAGGCTTTTTATCCGGCCAAATCTAATTTTACCTTTCACAAAGTACTGCTTTGTAGCAACTTGGAAGCTCTGGCCAGTTCATTAAAAGATATCATCTTTGTTTGGCCTTGCATCAAAAAATGAGACACATGGACCACTGGACAGAACAAAGCAGTGTGCTGTTCAAACTGGGATGGGAAATACATCCTCCAAACATTGTCCAATGGCAATTCCCATCAGTCCTAGTCAAATGCTCAAATCACTACATTACCCTAGCTCTCAGAGCCCCTAGTGGCTCGGTGTGTTAAACTGCTGAGCTGCTCAGTTTGTTGACCGAAACGTCATAGGTTGGAATCCGGGGAGCTGCATGATCTTCCACTGTTAGCCCCAGCTTCTGCCAACCTAGCAGTTCGAAAACATGCAAATGTAATTAGATCAATAGGTACCGATCCAGCGGGAAGGTAATGGCGCTCCATGTAGTCATGTCAGCCACATGACCTTGGAGGTGTCTACGGACAACGCCAGCTCTTCGGCTTAGAAATGGAGATGAGCACCACACTCCAGAGTTGGACACAACTGGACTTAACATCAGGGGAAAACCTTTACCTTTACCTGTTAGCCTAGCTCTCTTATATCTGATCCCATGCATTAATTCAAATAATATGTAAAAGGTTGATGATAACAGACATATCGGGAGATTCCAGGAAGGAGAAGAATCCAGTTACAGTACTCTTTTTTTTTTGGTCACTAGCTTCCTAACCAAATTGGGGGCAGGGGGGAAGGGGGTTGGATCATTTTCTCCAATTGAACCATTGATAATGTAGCCTTACAGGTAACCTTGTTTTGGATGAGGGACAGGGAAGCAAAATGTCTTGGTCTGGCCCTGCACAAGATATGGGAGAGTAAACAATCTTTCCTTGGGAAAAGAAGGGGAGGGGAAAACAGACCCAGTTAAGTGATAAGTACTTAGAAAAACAGAGCTTGACCGTCTGTGACATTTAGAGTCACAAAACCCAGGAAATCGTTTTGAACCGCATCTCGTATTGACAAGATATTGCTACCCAAGACTCATGAAGTTCACTGGTGTGTGTCAAGGTTACCACATGCCTTACAAAGATAAGCCCAATGATGTTTTCCTGTTAGCTACACCCGGGAAGGGAATAAAATAGTTTTTTCTCCACCTGTGAATGTTAACAGATTGCTTGCTCTATATGCTTTTAACTCTAATATCCTGACACGAATATATATATATTCGTGTCAGGAGCAACCTGAGAAACTGCAAGTCGCTTCTGGTGTGAGAGAATTGGCTATCTGCAAGGACATTGCCCAGGGGACGCCCAGATGATTTGATGTTTTGTCATCCTTTTGGGAGGCTTCTCTCATATCCCTGCATGTCCCTCATGTCCCTGCATTGTCTCAGAGCTGGAGCTGATAGAGGGAGCTCATTCTCCTCTCCCCGGATTCGAACCTGCGACCTGTCAGTTTTCAGTCCTGCCGGCACAAGGGTTTAACCCACTGCGCTTTATTTATACCCCGCTACCATCTCCCCAATGGGGACTCGGAGCGGCTTACATGGGGCCAAGCCCAGACAACATATTACAGCAAAATAAAACCAAAACATAAACAACAAGCAAAACCATCAAAATTACATTAAAAAAACATATGAATACAGTAACAAAATGACATTACAATAAACTCAATCGCAGTAACAGTGGGCGGGCCACATGTACAGGATAAAATGTTAAAAAACTCTAATGAGATTGAGTCCCTTTCGGGAGATGGTGGTGGGATATAAATAATGTTATCGTTATTCTAGTCCAATAATCCCATTTTGAGTCTTAATACTGGATTTAAAATGTTTTTATATTTTAAAAAAAGTCTTAAAATTATTGGCTAGAATTCTTTCTTGCGGCCTATGTTGTATAACTATTAGAGAAGGTGAGAAATGCAGTAAAGCTGAACTTGTGGCAAATGGCAGAAATTCAAGGATCTCGGGCAAGTGAAAGTCTCCCTATAGCAGGAATGGGAAACCAGTGTCATTGGTAGGCAATTTTTTCAGTCCTAGCCAGCATAACAAATGATGAGGAACCATGGGCACACATTCCCCTATCCACTCCCAACAGCATTTTATGATTATCATTGCCATGTCAGATATCCACCTGTGCTGACCTCTTAACTGGAACCAAGCCAGGGAGTAAACAAAAGAGGCTTAAATATTGGGCAATGCACTCTTGTTGGGTTTGTTGCGCTTGGACCAAAGTATCTAAACTTTGTGCTCCCTGAGTGTGGTGACCTCATCCTATTCCCAGAGCAGAGTTTAAAGTCCATCGGAGAGGGGTGTGCATATGCCCTGTGCTCAAAAGTGCTCCCTTCTCATTCACCTCACTCAGTTTCCTTGCATTTACATTCCTGGTGTTGGGATTTGTTTTGTCGGACTCCACAATGAGATTAGCATTCAGTGTGCTGATATTCTGCTTCTCTCTGACCGTAGGGAGATGTACTGAAGAGATAATGCAAGACAGTACACCCCCGCCAGAGGAAGGCTATTTTTCCGACTGGGGAATCGGGACCATCCGCGATGGCTTTGATGCAGTGAATGGCTATTTAGATTTTGTCTCAGAGCTGCTCGGAGGGAAGAATGGAGTCTGTCAATATAGATGCAGATACGGTAAGATCGTGTCCTTTGTCTGCTTCTTTCATGGCAAGACCCAAAGTTGTTGCTCTAGCGACTTGTTATTTTATTTGCTGCTTTTCTAGGACAATCCAGATACTGTTCTGCCATTTCCATATGAAGATCACCTTTTTAGGATTTGACCTAGCTTGTGATTGTCATTTTCAAAATCAACAACTGAACAATTTCACCACTGAGATGCAGATAATTGACTATGTACGACTCCAGGTCTTCTGCACTGTGTATCTAGACCTTCATCACTAAAGTAGTTTCCAATCCCTATTTTATCTACAGCAGTGGTTCCCAACCTTTGGGCCTCTAGGTGTTTTGGACTTCAACTCCCAGAAATCCCAGCCAGCTTACCAGCTGTTAGGAACTGTGGGAGCTGAAGTCCAAAACACCTGGAGGTCCAAAGGTTGGGAACCACTGATCTACAGCCAGGGACTAATTTTGCTATTTCTTCAATCTGCCTAAATACTCTGAAATCACCAAAATTTTGTCTGATCTTGAAGCATAAGCAGATTCAGTTCTGGTTTCTACTTGGATGAGAGGCCACCAATGAACACCATATACTGCAGGCTATATTTCAGAGGAAGGAATGGATGATATCCTCTGAATATTCCTTTCCTAAGAAACCCCTACAAAAGCCAGAGAAAATAAAGTGGTATCAAAATACCTAGAAACGATGCAGTTATATAAACCTCAGATCTCTTAAGCACTCAACAATGTTTTAGAAAATCTAAAAGCCGGGAAGATGTTTGTGAGGTGGAAGAATGGAGGGAGTGGTTTGATGGTGAAGCCATTCAGTGTGCCAGGTCAAAGTCTTAAGATGGAGAGGGAACAAAAGCACATATCTAAACAGACTATGGTGTTACATCAGTTCCAATTTATACTCAGGATTATTGGGAAAAATAAGTTCATAATGGATGCGTACCCTGTTTTGAATATAAAACCTAGTGAAGTTGGTAGGCACACAGTTTCTTGCAGGTGAATCTGGATTGGGATGATTTCTCATGTGTCCCATAACACTTCTGTGTCTAAACATCGAGGAAACCAAAGTGCTGTTCCAGCAATCACCAGTCATCCCCTCTGCAATGCCAGAAATACAGCTTAATGGTAACATTAGAAAATGTTGACCATTTCCGCTACCTTGGCAGCCACCTCTCCACCAAAGTCAACATCGACACCGAAATACAACACCGCCTGAGCTCTGCGAGTGCAGCATTTTCCCGAATGAAGCAGAGAATGTTTGAGGACTGGGACATCCGTAGGGATACCAAGGTGCTTGTCTATAAAGCTATTGTCCTCCCAACCCTGCTCTATGCCTGCGAAACGTGGACTGTCTACAGACGTCACATGCAACTCCTGGAACGATTCCATCAGCGCTGCCTCCGGAAAATCCTGCAAATCTCTTGGGAAGACAAGCGGACAAACGTCAGCGTGCTGGAAGAAGCAAAGACCACCAGCATTGAAGCGATGGTCCTCCGCCATCAACTCTGCTGGACCGGCCACGTTGTCCGGATGCCTGACCACCGTCTCCCAAAGCAGTTGCTCTACTCCGAACTCAAGAAAGGAAAATGGACAGGAAAAGAGATTTAAAGATGGGCTCAAAGCCAACCTTAAAAACTCTGGCATAGACACTGAGAACTGGGAAGCCCTGGCCCTTGAGCGCTCCAGCTGGAGGTCAGCTGTGACCAGCAGTGCTGCAGAATTAGAGGAGGCACGAGTGGAGGGTGAAAGAGAGAAACGTGCCAGGAGGAAGGCGTGTCAAGCCAACCCCGACCGGGACCGCCTTCCACCTGGAAACCAATGCCTTCACTGTGGGAGAAGATGCGGGTTAAGAATAGGGCTCCACAGCCACCTACGAATCCACAAGGAAACCCATCATGGAAGACCATCTTACTCGTCCAACGAGGGATCGCCTAAGTAAGTAAGTAAGTGTCTAATATAGTGGGAAAAGGGTAAACAAAGTAAAGCATAACTAATAATCTCTTTAGAAATAAAGGCCTGGGTTTTAGAGTAGACTTATTGAATCAACTGCTGACTATTGAACCAACATATATGCAAATCCCACTGAATTAATGGGACTACTCTAGTATGAACTAATAATGGGATTCAGGCCAGGATATTTCCGTATCTCTCTTTTTTCTTTTTATTAATTTACTGAGATTTACAACTATTATTTTGCTTTCACAAGCCTTCTCACACTTCATTAGTCCCTGAAATTGGTACTAATGGAGTTTCCAGGAACTGTTAATCAACTTCCTTATTCATCCTCCACTCTCACAAGCATGGCTTTGCTGGTATCTTAAATTCCCAGACATTTTGAATCTTTAAAATAAAGCGTAAAATAAATACTCAGCGATGTTGAGTATTTCAGAGGGTTCACAGCCAATCATGCATATCATATCATATCATATCATATCATATCATATCATACCATACCAAGTAAGTAAGTAAACTTTATTACGGTCGATGACCAAATCATAACATGACCCAGTCCCACACATCCACATCAAACCCAAGGGGTTATATACTTCAAACTTCAACAAATTTTAAAATCTAAGCTAAAAACCAATACAAGTAGTTATTAAAACCTAACTCAACCCATGAGATCATCCAAAGGCAATCTAAAGAGAGGTAGAGGGGATGGCACCGGGGAGGGGGGAATATCCAATACTATAAGTATCAGTCTATATCTGATTTCCCATCTATGTTCCAGAGGTAAAGCTTAGGTTGTCTGACCCTCAATCATCATCCACCTGATTTTAATTGCAGCCATGCAGAACTTAGCGACGTTGTATGTCACAGCTGAGTTTGTGTCTGAGAGCCGCAGGGCTATGTAGAATTGTCCAGAGAGTCCTGGGTATTTAATTGTCCATTGCGAGATAAGACGAGATTGAATGTCTCTATAAAACAGGCATGCAGAAGCACATGCTCCATTGTTTCTATGTGACCTGAGTCACAGGGACATAGCCTCTCAGAGTATGGGGTTTTCTGGTAACAACCTAACAAGAAGTGAAGGAATGTAATAATCATATCTATATAAATAAAAATGTAATGTTCGTTTGTGGGATTAACATAACTCAAAAACCACTTGGCGAATGGACTTCAAATTTGGACACAAGACACCTAACAATCCAATGTATGTCCTTCACTCAAAAAAATTGATTTTGTCATTTGGGAGTTGATGGGATTTATAGTTCACCTACAATCAAAGAGCATTCTGAACTCCACCAATGATGGAATTGAACCAAAGGTGACACACAGGACTCCCATGACCAACAGAAAACACTAGAAGAAGTTGGTGGGCATTGACCATGAGTTTGGGAGTTGCAGTTCACCTAAATCCAGAGACCACTGTGGACTCAAACAATGATGGATCTGGACCACACTTGGCATGAATATTCCATATGCCCAAATATGAACACAGATGGAGTTTGGGGGAAATAGACCTTGACATTTGGGATTTGTAGTTACTGGGATTTATAGTTCACCTACAATCAAAGAGCATTCTGAATCCTACAAACGACAATTGGGGCAAACTTCCCACACAGAACCCCCATGACCAACAGAAAATACTTCAGGCCATCCAGTCCAACTCCCTTCACCAGGGCAAGAAAACGTAATCAAAGCCCTCCTGACAAAGAGCCATCCAGCCATAGATAGATATAGATAGATAGATATGATTCATTCACACACAGATATAGTATAGATTTGAAAGGGACCCCTAAAGATGGACAATTATATGTTGTATGTTCCAGAGTAGGCAAACCAGACAATCTCTATGTCAACACTGTCAAAGAAACATCAAGAAATACTGTTTACCCATAAGCAGAAAGAAAATACATATATTCGAAACCAGCACTTTCTAATTCCTTTATTTTCCATATCAACAGACTGGGCCACAGCAACACGTGGCAGGGGACGGCTAGTCATATCATAAATACAATTGGATTGCCAAATCTCTGGCCTTCCATTTTTGTGTGAGAGCACTGCCTCGATAGATATGTGTGTATATATAAGTCTCATTTGTCAGACCTCGTGCTTCTTTCATGCCACTGTAGTAATTATTGCATCAGATTTAATGACATAATCAGGGGCTGCCTCCTTACAACATCATCAGAGCATAGTCTCTTTAACATCACCAGATAGCATCCGAAAATCTCAGTGTTTAGCCTTCAAATGTGGGTATCCATAATCCTCCAGACCTTGAAACTTTAAAGGCAATAAATACATTACAGGAAATGAAAACATGTCTGTCACACAAGCAGGATAATCATAAACCTGGGATTGAGCATGCCAGATTATATATGATAATCTCAGGCACAAACTTTGGCTAACTGCCATGTGATCTCTTTAAATCAGTGGTTCCCAACCTTTTTTTGACAGGGACTACTTTGACCCGGAACCACTTTGACCAGGGACTACTCCCCAACATTAGTACCCAAAGGGTTACAATTGAGTTTTTGGCCAACTTTTAAATTTGGTTCAATTGTTTGGGGGTGCTGATTCAGAAAATTGCATTGGATAGACTACATCGGCTCTAGCTTCTGATACAGCTTCTGTCGAATGTTTTTTTTATGATACTGAGGGCACCGAATGATGCTTGCTGTGAGGCCGTCCTGAGGTCCCCCCTGCCCGGGGTGAGAAGGGTGGGGTACAAATGCAGGAAATAAATAAATAAATAAATAAATAAATAAATAAATAAATAAATAAATACAGAACATATGCCATCCAATAGTTGCCATCTGTTAGTCCACAGAAAACCATATTAAATAATCTAGAGCTGATGTGGTCTATCCAAGGGGCTGATCAGCTACAGGGAATGAGTGACAGGCAGCACAAAAGGAGCAAAAATAAAATAAAATATTTTTAAAAAGAAAAAAGAGGAAGGAGGCTTGCGGACCAGATTTTTGTCCTCACAGCCCACTGGTGGTCCACAGTCCAAAGGTTAAGAACCACTGCTTTAAATAAATGCCTCTTCGCTGGTAGCT